GTTCATGTTGCTGCGGTCTGCAGTCTGGATGTTAGATGTCGCTGAAAATTACACACTGTAGCTTTAAAAAGAAATTAAATGAAAATGAAAAACATAAGATTGAGAAATAAAAATTGTGAAAAAAAAAATCTTTTTGGATTTTATTTTTGGATAGCTTTTTTGTTTTTATTTCCATGTACAAAATGGGTACTTTGCATGCAACAATTTTGAAACAAAATTACCTCCATAATTTTTCTAATAATTTAGATACGATTCTCTCTTCCAGCAGTCCAAAAACATGTCTTAGACTGTCCTTGGGTGGGTGTTTCTGATAGATGGAGCTGTATTACAAATTTTAAATTTGCATTATTAATAATATGTCAAATTTTGGTCGTTTAATTTTGAAGCAGTCTTACAGGAGGAATCAGTCTTTTCTTGCTGGTTGTCTACAGAAACAGACAAAATATTTCAAAAACTTTAGTTAGAACATAGGTAAAATAGGTAAATTAGGGCCAAGGTAAAGCAAACTTACCGCCTGCTGCCTGGCAGATTGTCGTTTTCATTTCGTCCATTTTTAAAAGCGTTTGATCCATTTTCCACTAACTTTCACAAGTTAAAAAAGAGGGGCCTACAACAGTCCCACAAGGCTTAATTATCCCTCTGACTGATAACAACTTGGAATGGAGGGGGAGGTCGGCTGAAATGAGAACAGGAAGGAAGGGGGAGGGTGGATGGGAGGGGGGATTATTGCAGATTGTCTGATATTACCTGGCCTCTGATCAAAAGACTGTGTTGGCAGGCGGAGCACATAATCCGCTCAATTTCTCTTTCTGGTGCCATAAAACATCTGGAGCTGTGTAAAGCAAGATATTAGTGACCAGCCTACATCTGGCTGTGAAAGTGTAAATCACACTCACAAAATGGAAAGCAGTGTAAATCCACCAAATTCATTTTTAACACTTTTCTCTTGGGGAACCACAACTACAAGAACAATTTTTAAATATGTTTTTTTTTTCCCACTGCTTTCTACCATAAGCAGGCATTAACTATTGATGTATCATTTTAGAAAAGAAAAATATACTACAGAGTTTAAATTGGAAACTTTTCATCTGAATATTTTTTTTGAAAATTTCAGTTTGTGTTTTCTAGACTCTAGCTCAGATTTATTTATATTCTCTAGGCCTGAAGATCAAAAGTCTACTTGAACGGTGAGAATGTTTTCAGTCTCTCACAGACAAAATAGAGCTTCCCATTTAAGAATTTCTTCTTTGCATTTCTTCTAAGTCCTTGTCTCCAAACCAAAAACTTTTAGCGCCTATAAGTGAGTGATACTGCTCATCTTAATATCGATCCGATGCTGATTTAATACGGAGCAGGTATAGCCAATATTGATATCAATACAGATACTTTAAATTTATTAAAGGGGTCATAGAAAGCAAAACAGAGTTTAAATTGTCATAAATGAATGATGATAGTTCAGTGGGTGAAATGGACGTACAGAGAAGTTCAAACCCCATCGACAGCTCCTTTCTCTGCAAATCTCACATTTCTAAACTTCCACCATAAAATGGGTGAATACAAACAAAGCCCGGAATTGACGTGAATTCAGGGATTTTGCCTTATTTGGTTCTGGCCTGTACTTTTGTAATGCCCCGAAATTTACATACAGACCAGCCGACTGGTTCACTGGCCCAAGAACAGGATGTTCTTACATGTTAAGATGTAAGACACTAGTTTGGCTGTTTACTTCTACAAGAATTACAAATGAGGCCGTTTTTATATTGAAAATGAGCCAGAACCACAGGTGTAAATGCAGTGTTCCAGGCTGGACGGAGAAAGCTGACTGACCCAGCTGTTGCTGGGCCGCTGACTGGACTGGACCTCAGCAGAGAGCAATGAGCTGTCCTCAGCCGGAGAAGGCGGGCTGGGGACCGGTAAGGCAGGAGAGGGGAAGCATGGGGCCACCTGTGTCCAGGCTACCATCACTGGGTCGGGTTCGGTCGCTCCGTCCTCCACTGGCTCCCTGCCCCCGTCCGCCGGGGCTCCCGGACCAGCCCCGGAGCTGACGGCTCGGTTCTGCTGCAATGTAGTCGACCAAAATCCTGTACGGTTTTGAAATTCCCCCCCAGATATTTTTTTAGCAATGAAAAGTAGGACATGTCCGGGAAAACGAGGACATCTGGTTACCCTACCATATCAACATAGTATCGATAGTTGTATCACTCTGCCCACCACCATTAGCATCAGTGTAGCCTTTGCCCTCTGATTTGGTCTTCTCACAAAAAATAAATTAGAACGAAATCTGCTTACAGTCAGGTTTTCTCTGTTATTTAGGTAGTTGTTTATCTAAACAGCACAGCTACAAAAGTGAAAACGCAATCCCTTTTCTATCTAGAGCTAGTTGATGCCTTAATCCTCAGTGAGAGTGACTCAAATCTGGTACTAAATCAGGGATCCCTAATCTGAGATCTCTATCTCTTAATGGCTGGTTTATATATCCTTTATATATATATATATATATATATATATATATATATATATATATATATATATATATATATATATATATATATATATATATATTTGATTTAAAAGTGTCATATTAAGATAAATGGAAAAAAAATTTCAGTCAAAATAGTTCATATTATATTATTTATGTTTAAGGTTTTGAACATTCAATACTGTGTCATCATTTCTGTGTTTCAAATACTGTTAAATACTGTGAAATGTTTTTCCCTCCCTTTACTGAAGAATACAGACAAGACAAGAATACAGTGTATTTATGTTTAACTGTTAAACTATCTATTAGCAGTTAATTTTTCATGATTATCTATCTATCTATCTATCTATCTATCTATCTATCTATCTATCTATCTATCTATCTATCTATCTATCTATCTATCTATCTATCTA